TTTGAATAATTTAATTCATTATTTGTTGCATTTCTTAGATCAATAAAATTTTGAATAATATTTGGGTTTAAATTTATTAAAGATTTATGATTTATATTTCTCTGAGGACCTAATTGAAGGTTTTTATGCATTGTAATGACTTTGGTTGCAAATTCTTTATGAGAGGTATTTTTGGAAAAAATATTGTTCAAAGGCTATTATTCAAATGACTATATTTTTTGGTCTAATCTTACAAACTACTCTTATATTTAGGCTATATGTAGGTATTTCCTCCAATACCCACGCATGGCAAGGATAATCTCTACTCAAATTCTCTCTCTACAAAAATACCCACACAAATACGCACAGCCATGGCTAGCATAATCCCTATGGCTTCATCAATTAGACCCTCGCTCTCCTCTTTCGGGTCTCGCTTTGCTTACATATTCGTAGTGGTGTTTTAATTCGTAGTGGTTTGGAGATGGCGATAGTGAGGATAAAAGGGATGTCTATGTTCATAGGCGACACTTGGAATTGCCAAAATGGAGAGCAAGAGCAGCTCCGTTTAAATAAAGAGATCGGTAACATACGTACTAAATTCAAGAATGGAAAGACAAGTTGTAAAACACACACATTTGAACATGTATATGCATCTGGGCAAGTATATGGGTTTGCTATTTTAACTATTTGATAAACTTTAAATTGTTCTTTTGGAATGTAGATTTTTTGAGTTAGTAATCTGACGTGAGTGGTAGTTGAAGATTAGTGAAATTAACTTGGAAATATATATCTGGATCTGGTTAATTATCCACGAAAGTTTGAGTTGTAGAGCAGAGAAATATAAAATAATTAAGCTATTTGTACATTAACTTTGACATTCTAGTTGACAGTTGGATGATGTGTCAAGATTGCAATGGTTGAGTTAAATGTGTGAGATGATGTAAGATTGTGTCAAGTGTAAATTCAGTAAATCAGGATATAAACTATAATGTACATATAGCAAGATTGAATCTAAAATTTCACTAGATTTCGTGGAACATATTATCATCAAAATCAATGGAAAATGGAGCTGTTCTCAGCATTGGCGGCAGAATTTGTAGAGCAATAAGTTAGCATCAGCCTAATTTTTTTTCTTTGTGAGGGTTGCAGCAGTGTATGTGGTTTCATTTGTCTTTGCATTTGAGATCTTTTTGTCGTGTTAAAATGGAAGCTTGCTTCCATTAGACGTGTTGATAAATACAAATCCTGTTTTCAATAGTATAAATCCTGGGATATAGGTGACAGAATCGATGAACTTTGTGCCAAGGAAAATGACGTGGCTTGTGACTAATGGAAATATATCATTTGTTAATGAGATTGGCCCTAAAATTCAAGGGAAATGGTGTGATTTGTGACTAATAGAAATATTAGTGATTGTGATCGATTAATTGTATAATTTATAATTAATACGTTAATTGTGACCTACTAATTATTTAATTTATGACATTATATGTGATTGTGACTCATAAATCGTGTCGTACGTGATTGTAACCTTATGTAATATTGACTTAGCATGTGATCGTGATCCATAAAATTGTGTGGCATATAATTATGACCAGTTTAATTTCAATTATATATCACAACATCTATCGAAGTCACGAATGTGACTAAATTTTTGAATGGTCACAATCACTATTACATAACTATCTAAAATCATCATCACCATCATCATCACCATCACCATCACCATCATTATTATTTTCAAAAATTAGGTTCTCACATTTTGTGACTTCTTATAGAATTTTGTAACCTATAATTTAATTATTCGGGTCACGATAATAATGACACATAATTTATAGTCATAGTCACATACTGCAAATCATACAAGATCATAGTCACAAAAACATAATTTGTAGGTTACAAATACAGTTGTATTCATAAGTTACACATTTTTTTTATAGGTTACAAATTATTTATTGGTTACAATTTACCAAAATAACTAGTCACAACTTAGTGTACTATTACAAATAATCAAATTAATTGTTATTTATCGATCACAAAGACATAAATCATAGGTCACAGTTACAAATTTGGTCATAATCACATATTTAGAGTTCAAGTATTATTAATCATAATTACTCGTTTTATTAGTTACAATTACTCAATAATTGATCACAACTTTTTTTCTTTTCACAAATCACCAAATGTACAGGTCACAACTTATTTCATTGTTACATGTTATCAAATTAATTGGTTACAAGCTATTCTTGATCATAATTAATAAATTAATTGGTTATAACTTATTTATCGATCACAAAATTACAAATTATAGGTCACTATTGTAAATTTAGTCACAAGATAACACATTTTTATAGGTTACATATTATTCGATCAAATTATGAAATTAATTAATTACAATTTATTTATCGGTCACAAAGACACAAATTGTAGATTATAAGAAATATGATCACAATCATATATTCTTTGGTTATATATTATTTATCAGTCACAAATTACTCGTGTTATTGGTCATAATTACTCAATAATTGGTCAAAGTTACCCGATGATTGGTTATGACTTAATTCTCGATTACAAATTATCAAATTAATTGATCATAAGTTATTTTATTAATCATGAAACTACAAAATATAAGTAACAAATTATCATACTAATTACTCAGAATTTGTTTATCGATCAAGAAATCACAAATTGTAGGTCACAATTACAAATTTATCACATGTTTTCTAGATCATGTATTATTTAATCAAATTATCAAATTAATTGATTTATTTATTAATCACAAAGACACAAATTATAGATCACAATTACAAATAGTCACAGTTACATTTTTGTAGGCCAAGTATTATCAAATTACTCGTTTTATTGGTCAAAATTATCCAATACTTGGTGACAACTTATTTTTTTAATCACAAATCACAAAATGTATAGGTCACAACTTACTTTACAATTAGAAAATTATCAAATTAATTAGTCACAAGTTATTTCTCGATTACGGATCACAAAATATATGGGTCACAACTTATTTCAAGATCACGAATCCACTAAGTGGCTCATGTATTATTTTTTCAAGGATCTTTACTGGTCGAAATCTTCGAGCAACGAGTCAACCTCCACACTTGAGATCTACGAGTTTGATTCTAGATATGTCTCATTATTTGTTGGAGCATTGCTCTCTATAAAAAATGCTTTTGTAAATTTTATTAAAAAATCAAGTGGTCACATTTTGTGAGGCTTGATAAAAAGTTTGTTCACATTTTGTAACCCTGATAAAAAGGTTATGATCTATAATTACTCAGGTCAAGATCATAATCTAGCATAACTTATGGTCGTAATCACATATTAGTTACAAATTACACAAAATCACAATATTATTTTGTGGATCACAATTGAAAATTTATCACAAATTATACACTTTCTTAGGTCACTGTCTTATTTATTGATCATAAAAGCTATTCATCACACCCCAACCTCATTCCACTCCATTCCCATGTATTACATTGTAGAATTTACTATCACTACGCCACCACCACCCAAACAACCTCAATCTCGTGGTCGCTGTCTCCGTCGCTACATCTGCTGCAGCCACCACTTCAAATAACAAACCACAACCACCACTTGCACCTACAATCCTCCGGCTGGTTAAAGAAATCCCTAATTTAGACCTGCCACTGCAGTTGCCACCACCTCATACCCCCAACCACATCCACCACCTTCACTTACAACCATCCTGCTGGTTAAAGAAATCCCTAATTTAGACAAAATGGCAACCCTAACCTTAATCCCACTCTACCGTCGAGGTCCTCGCGGCCGACAGTATAGGGACATTTCATCCACGTGAAAATCATTTTCCCCTCAAATCTCAAAGTTTTTAGCTGTCACACAGAACAGAGACATTTCTCTTTCAGCATAGTCCTTGAGCCTCCAAGCCCTGTGATGGCGCTACTCGCTGATTCTCCATCCCACATCACCACATTCATCAGAGAGTCACCCACAGGAAAATCATTTCTCCCTCAAATCTCATCGTTGATTTTGGCCAACCTCGAAGTACTGGATATTCTCTCTCCTCCGCGTCTAGAGCTGGTACATTACTATGTGGTTATTTAGGGCTTCGTTGAGAGGATCAGTGAAGGGAGTTTTGATTTATTGGGGTTCAACGAGTGGGGTTGCATGGGATGGCTACGATGTCAGATAGGGTGATTTGGAGTGTTATACCTTATATTTTGAACTAATCAAAATTGAACGTGCATTACATGTTATTCTAAAATATTTTATAAGTGATGTAAAAGTAATATTTGATGTCGATTTCTTGGAGGATTTGATGAGTCTCAAACGAATTAAAGAAAATAAAATTTATCATAAAAATTTAAGAGAAGAAAATTACACTCTTAAAACTCAATTTCTATGATTCAAATTTTTTGTAATAATGAAATACTATAAATAAGCAATCTTTTTATATTACATTTGATACATAAAAAATTAATTGTTAATACATAAATTTAAACACTTATTAAAATTTTAAGATCCATAAATATGAATAAATTCATTTATAATAACTCTAAATTCATGTAATTCAAGATTCGAAAATTTATTGAATTTAGATTAATATGAATGCAATTAATTGAAAATTAATAATACAAATTACATAAATGAAAATAACCATGTAGTATTTATTATATATCGAAAAACGAAAAATAATGTATTATTAAAATAATTGAATTGTAGGATGTTAAAAGCGTCCAAAAAAAGATTTTCCATTGATGTAATATTTTAATATAATTATAAATAAATTGAATTGCATAGGATTAAAAGCGTTCAAAAAATGATTCTCCTATATCAATTTAAATATCGAATTTTTAAATAGCAGACTATAAAGTAATTTTCCTTTCCCATCAAATATTCTACCTAATTCGGACAGTGATTTTCAAGTTACGGTTGAAGTCGGACCGGCCCATAAGTTCCGAGCCCAACTCGAACAAATCCTGTACTTAACAAATCCTGTACTTAACGCGGCTTATCGATACCGCTGATATTAGAAGCAACGGAGCACACAGGATTAATAATTTCTTGGAGCCCAAGCCAGTGGCCAAAATCCCAGAAAATTCTTCCCATAAAATCCCTCTAACAATTTCCATAAGGAGAGAATTACATCAGAAAAGGAGTTAGTTTTATTTGCAGGTGTTTGTTTGGTTTGAAGCCGTTCTTTTGCAACTTTTTGGCAGAATTTCTTATGGTATTTTCTGAGCCCTGTTTCTATGATTTTGTATTAATTGTAATATTTGAATGACGCTGCAAGATGTTTTCTTTATTTTTATTTTTCTTTTTCTTTTTAATTCAAATTTACCTTTGGGAGAATTTTACTATAGGAAGATTTATGGGGAATGTTTTGAATTAATTAATCTGTATTGTGATTTGGACAAGTTCATAATTGTAAGAAGTACTAAACTAAAGGGGTGGCACTTACTGGATATGAAATAGGGATAAATTAGTTAAGATAATTGAAAACGATTTAAATGTATATAGCCCCTTTTAATACTTCTATTGTATTAGCTAGGTCTCTAATTTCGTTTTAACAAGGTTCATCAAATTGCAAAAGGTTCAAATGTTGAGCTCTGGTACCAAATTGTTGAATTTGAATTCACAAATTAAAAATATAACTTTATTTATGAGATGCAATTTACACAATTTTTGATACACACCAAGACCACTAACCTCTCTTATATTATTTAAAAATGGAGCACTCACAGTAATTTCTCTCTTCCGTTCTCATCACTGCACTCTTTTTCTCTTTCACTCTATATATAGGCAAAATATGGCAGTGGCTTTGTCTTTGACATACTTCTATAATGTCGGTTTCTTCAAATAAAATCAGCACTAATCCTTCCAGATTCTTCTAGCTTGGAGGTGATGATAAAATTGATATCTTCTGGGTTCTTCTTCAATGTTGGTGGCTATGAAAAAAATATGGAAAAGGCGGTGCTGGTTTCTTCATTAAATCCCTTTTCCAGTTATCTACTTTGTGAAATTGTTGATCTACCTCATTGAAAGTGATTTAAGTGTATATAGCCTTGTTTTATAGTTCTATTGAGTCCGATCATCAATTAATTATGAAATGTGTGAAGGCCTTTTCATTTATCTACTTTGTACAATTGTTAATCAACCACATTAAAGTGATTCAAGTGTATGTATTCATATGTCTATTGAGTCGTCTCATGGTCTCTTTTTCTGTTATGCTTCCACGAAGCTCATTAAATCACAAAGGTTCAAATACCTTTTCAGTTATCAACTTTTTACGATTGTTGATCAACCTCTCTGTCTAGGTTAACTATGTACATCTGTCCATCGCTATCCCCTAGACAGTGCATTCTTGCGGGGTTATATGTGGGTTAGGGCAAAAATATGACAGTTTGTGGAGTGTTGAAGAGGTCTTCTAGCTCCATCCTCCCTCTCCGACGAAAAAAAAAGAAAAAAAAAAAAAGAAATTGAAGAATTTCTATTATAAAGTGGATATAAGGAAGGGAATTCATGTTGAGTTGTTTGATCATTACTAGGACTTGCTATGCATTGCACAGTTGAACCGAGTTCTTGATCCGTTGTAGCCTAATGGTAGATATTTAAAAATCCGACTCGACATTATGTCGTTCATCATTCAAGTTATTTTCTCAATATGTGTTAAGGGAAAAACTTTGATAAATGTTGATATTTCTCTACTGTGATTGCCAAATTTGTGCTTGTTGATGCTTTTTGTCTAAACGTGTCATGTTAAGTCAATTAGAAGAACTTGTTCTATTCTGTTGCGTCTTATAATGCAATTACAATATCTGATCTGGTTGCTGTTGTTGTTGCTGTTTTTGTTTCTTATTCTTCATTTATCCACTAGGTCAATCTAGTTGGTTCATTGCACTTTGGTTTGGTTTAGTAGCTATATGTCATTTCGTTCTCTTTTTCCAAAGATTTCATAATTTGATTCTGAACTGATTTCATATGATATTTATATGTTAGATGCCTCTTTGTTAAGCAAGCCAATAAGAAATACCTTTATCTACATGTTATCATTGATGCTTATGATCTCACATTTTGTTCCTGTTTTATCTTTAGGCCTCTAGTGTAGTGGTTGGTTGTGTTACTGTCGGAGCTGCTGCTTTGGGCAGTAGATGGATGATAAGAGCATGGGAAGCATTCAAAAATCGTCCTACAGTTCCTCGTGCTCGAAGATTTTATCCTGGTGGATTTGAAATGGTCATGACAAGGCGAGAAGCTGCATTGATTCTTGGAGTGAGGTAAATATTCTAAATTTGTTCATGTTCACGCATTTCATTGTTTCTTGTTCAGGATTTTGCTTGACATACTTTTTGAGTCTAGGAAATTCTTATTGACGATTTTCATCTCTAATATACGATCTTGTTATCAGAGAGCATGCTGTAATGGAGAAGATCAAGGAAGCTCATAGGAGAGTAATGGTGGCAAACCATCCTGATGCTGGCGGTAGTCATTATCTTGCTTCCAAGGTTAACGAAGCTAAGGATGTTTTATTGAGGAAAACGAAGTCACCTGGTTCTGCATTCTGATTGAATTTTTCTTCTCTATCTATACATAGCATTCAGGAATCACATTTTGGATCCATGGCTTGAGTGTAATGGGCCATTGCCCAGTGAATTCGATGTACTTACATATATACAAGCAAATTAGTTTGTTTGAGCTGTTTTTTGGTGTTGGACTAATTAATAAATTAATTGTGTACTGTTGGAATGAATTTCAATGTATTTAAAATAAGATTTTGTAGCTATTCCGATTCATTGAAACCTAACTATATAAATTTGAGTAATAGATACTATTACAGAATCAAATAAATTTGAGGAATATTAATATTGATCTAACTTGAATGAAGTTGTAGATTTATACTAAAGTAGAATTCTTAATAAATTCTCTCTGATATTTTTATTTATAAGCTGATCAGGCCACATGGGAATAGCAGAAAAGAAAAGAAGATGCTGTGCTGTAACTGAACTGAAATTTAAGCAGAGGATACTCTATCTTCAATCGTGCTCCTGCATCATTTCCTATACACTCGATCATCAATGGCAAGAATAATCCAATCAAATTAATCCCAAAACCTGAAATCATACGCTCCTCGTACTCTTTTTTTTTTTTTTTTGATATCTTCCCCTTCTTTTTTTTTTTTTTTTTTTTGATATCCAGGTATCCCAGCTTACACTAGACTAAATCCTGGACCCCCAAGATCCTTGTCCTTAGAACCTTGCAGGGGGTAAATCGCGGGTTATGTCTCAACTGGATCACAGGTTCCCCCACCGCCTGTACACTTCTGCACACAAGAGATCTTCCTTCAAAGTGATTGTTCCATACCAAATAAATCTGGCCACAAGTTCCCACCAAGATTCGAACCTCCTCGTACTCCTCTTTCGACAGCAAGTTGCTCAACTATATCGAATACTGCAAAAGGAAGCTGTCCCCAACCTCAAAAACCCACATTCAAATTCCTTATGAAGAAGCCTTATGCGACCCCATCATGGGCCTCTCGCCTTAATCCTATTCCCTCTAATGTCTTTTCACTTGGCCACATACGTATATTTATAGATGTTAATGTTAATTGTTGAACTTTCTGCTTAATTTGAGCAAGTGAATTTTTTTCCGACTCCAATTCACAAAGTGGAACCTCTCTAATTTGCCCAAGGGAACAGAGGTCTATCTAGTTATGACAATTTACCCCGTCCCGCTCCTAATGGGGCAACCCCCCCTCCCCCCCCGGCCCCCGCACGGGGCATCCCCCAAAAAAATAAAAATAAAAATAAAAATAACTGAAGAGTTGAAACATATTCATGCTTGGTACACAAAAATTGCTCCGTTGCATACAAAATAAGGAGTCCAGGAATGTGCCTGACTGGGAAAAAGCAACACTCAAGTTGCTTTCAATGCCGAAGATTTCAGAGTTTTAAGACTAAATAATGCTTTTCCTTTAATTATTACATATCTGTATCGAGCCTTAGTAATGGTTAGCTCTTGAACCATTTATGTAATACCAAAGCTAATGCGTATTATCGACATTAAATAATCAAAGCTCACATCAAGAATCACAGCTCGGCACACCCAATAATAGTGAGAGTCAATATAGCAATAAGGAAGCGCAGGATTCTAGGAGAAAAAAGGTTAGAGACTCAGAGAAAAAAGGTTACTCACAGTCTGGCTGAATTTAGTTGGAATAATTGAGGGATATTGGAACTCTAATGGCAACAAATTCAAACCAATTGATGATTCAACAAATCCGATAAATGAGGAAAATCCAAATCAACACGAAGATCCATCAGCTTTTCCAAAACAAATTTTATGGAATAATATGTTAACAAAGCATATTTTATGGGACAATATGTTAAGAAAACATATTTTATGGGATCAGATCTTATGAAATTATAGACGCAGATTTTATGGAATTATATGCAGATTTTATGGATTCATAATATTTTTTGATTTACAGCTACATTATGTAATTTGCTTAAAAATACTCTTCTTTGTATTGCCTAAGTGTTCACATTGCAATCATTGAAAATAAGAAACATTAACTTTCAGAACATAATTCTGTGTATTTTTTTCTAGTTTCTCCTTAATGCCTTCTTCTTGCGTGGGAACCTATGTTTACTTGTTTACTTATTTATGGTGAACAACAAAGTTTCAGTGTCCTTTTGGCGATGCTTCTCTGATATCAGGCTCTTACTGACATATTGAAAACAAAATTGTTAAATGAAGTGAGAAAGTTGTACATTATTCCTGTAGGTGGGACCAATCCCTAAGGAACCTGGTAAGGCTGGATGTTAAATGCCATCTTCTGTTGTTATGCTATATGTAGAGTTGAAGCCCGAGGAGAGTTTATCGAATTACAATTGCCTAATTTCGTCTTGTCAGCATGGAATTGTACACAAAACAGTCTCTGTTTTTCAGGGGCTATATTGAAGCAATTAGGGACCTTAAAGAACAGCTTCAGTACGCGAAAGATATAGTAGTATTTGATGACATCGTTGTAGCATGCAGCAGATATTGCATTGCTTTTTTCCTTTAATTTTAACAGAGATAGACTTGTTATTGAAAAGGTAGCATTTAGAATATACTTCCAGTTGTGCTATATGCAAGTTTTTGTACAAGGCTGAAATTTGATCATAATTTTTTCTGTTAAGAAGCTATAATCTGTAGATTCCCATGTACACTCCAATTCCTCTTGTTCATAGAAAACAGAAGAATATTATCAGGTTTTTGTTTCTTTTTCTTACTAAGAATAACATCTAGTAGTCTTAATAGTATACCTTATGCTATTAGCAACTCTGAATAAATTTCTATCAGATGGGATTTAAGGCATGGTCTATGTACATTTATGCATTTGACATGGATCTAATGTTTCAATTGGGTAAGACTGTACTTAATTTGAACATTGCTACCTTAATAACCATGTTGACTCCATTAGAGGTTAGTTAACTTAACAGTTACTGTACCAAGTGGGTCTACCTTAATTTTTCTTTCATTTTTGTGAAATATGTGGAAATTAACACAAGGTATTTATCTAAATATTTTCTTGTTTATGATTTTCGGTGGGGGTACAATTACTGGTTTGTCAGTAGGATCTTGGTTGGGTGATCTGGAATTTAAAGTACACTTTCTTTTTTCTCCCTTATCTTCTGCTCCAATACCTTGAAAATTAATCAATACATATAATTAATTTTCTTGATTGTAGGTTTATGCTTATGTCTCTATGATGATCCTGGGTACTACCAGTATGCCCAAGGCCTACTTGTTGGTCATCAAGCAGGTGTTAGTTCACGTGATATAGTTACCATAACTAAAGTGAGCACCATGTTTAATTTTATTAAAATAATTGTGTAATCTTCTTCATGTTCAAGAATTTCGACAGCAGACTCTACTGCATAATCTTTGTTTATGGCTTGTTGTTTTCACGTCTTATATTATTTGTCATGCTACTGACTGGCTGTAGACATTCTGTATTTTCTGAAGCTTATTAATTTATTTGGAAATTGTTTTCTTGCCTGAAAGGATAGACTGGGTTTTAGTTCATAAAGATTTTCATTGAAAGATTCTAATGTTATATAAAACATTTCAAACTCTTTGTTTGCTGTCCTATAGCAGTGTCTAGCAAAAGTGTAAAGATATAGATGTAAAGCTCAACGCTGATCTTTTTGGCTCAAGAAATTGTGGAACAGATAATACAAGCAATTGATAAGATCAGAGTTAGTATGAAGAAGGCTCAAGATAGACAGCAAAATTATGCAAATAAAAGGAGAAAGGACTTGGAATTTGTGATAGGAGATAAAGTACTTTTAAAGGTTACACCCATGAAGGGGGTGCTACGATTTGGTAAGAGGGGTAAGCTCAATCAAAGACACATTGGTCCTTTTGAAATTTTAAAGCGGGTTGGAAATGTTGCATACCAGTTAGCCTTAGCACTAGAGCTTTCAGCTATACACAATGCCTCTCACATATCAATGCTCAGAAAGTATGTCCTTGACCCAACTCATGTGGTGAGACATCAACCATTTGATATTCAGCTGAACTTAAGTTACGAAGAAGCACCAATATGCATCATAGCTCAGAAAGTACAGAAACTACACAATAAAGAGATATCATTGGTTAAAGTGTCATGGCAACATCACTGAGTAGAAGAAGCTAATTAGGAGCGAGAAATGGAAATGCGAGCCAAGGACCACAACTCTTCGATGAGTTCCAAGGTAAATTTCGCGAACGAAATTTAATTTAAGGGAGGTAGGTTGTAATATCTCGAATTTTTTATTACTAGTCATTAGATTAAAAATTAGGACTTAAGTGCTCTATTATTGAAGTTTAATGACCTTATTAATTACTAGCCAATAGTTTGAGAGCCTAAGTAAAGAGTTAATTTGGAAGTTAAATGAAATTATATGTAAAATATATGTAAATATATCAATTACCCTTGATTAAAGATTATTTATTTGACCACATGCATTATTCACCACATTTTAAGCAAAATAATTGCTTTGACCACATAAACTAAGATAATTGATTTGACCACATGCATTATTATATACACCAAGATTCAAGCCAAGTCAATTGACTTGATCACATGATTAAAGGAATTGTATGTGATCAAATCAATTGACTTGACAACTTTCAAGACAATGCATCAATTATGTTTTGACCATACCTAACATCTAGCCATTTCTTTTCAATTTTCTATACATGGTCCAAGAACTTACATTATAAATAGGAGTTAAACTCAACATTGGACTATCCCTCACCAATTATTTACAATATTCCTCTCACTTCTATCACTTTGTCTCAACATCTTTACTTCTTCTCGTCTTTTTCCTATTAAATATAGTCATACACTTACACAATCAAACAACCTGACACGCAGCTCAAGAATCTCCCTCCAACAATTACTTCTTCTATCATTTTTGAATTGTCAAGCGAAAGGTAGGTGTAGTAGTACAAATTGTTTTTTTATTATTTAACTTATGAAAATTTATGTTATGAATATAATAATTCAAAAATCCAAGTTATGATTATGATAAGGGTCCTATGTGTGTAAGTTCAAAGGACCGAAGTTTAATAAAGCTACACGTGGGAATCATAACCACGAAGTTCGGATTTTAATTCCCGTGTTTCCAGATGTATGTTATGATTTTTCGTAGTTAAATATGAGATGCAAATTCGTTATTACTCATTTACTGAGATTTGTGTCTCACATGTATATGTTAAAAACTTTATAGGTAACTAAAAATGCCATGTTTGAGGCGACTAGAGGTGGATTTGCTTACGTGAATGAAAATGTAGAATGATTTTTAAGTTTAAGTTAAAGATTTTAATGCATTTACATTTTTTTATTTTATTTTAAGCATTTCATGTTCAAAAAATATTATGTTTTTGATTGTTTATGAAAGTATTATCTTACGATACATGTATAATGATTCCAAAGGTAAAAATTTGGATTGTTACATAACTTGTCTATCTACTATTCTATTCTACTATAAATATTCACATTTAGTGTCATTTTGAAGGTAATACAGTTTTGCACTCTCAATATTATTATTGCTTATTCTAATTTTCTCTCTACAACTTGGTGCTTGTATACATACTCGTGGCTCACTTCATTTGTTCATCTCACGCCCAAATATATAAGTTTACTGACTTGATTGTTGGAGTGCTCGTGGGCCGCCTTTTCATCGTTGGAGAAAGTCAATTGCTTCTAATGATTTGTCCAATTATGCAGGAGCCTTATGTGTGGACTTGCATAGAGTCAAGATCTTTTTGACCATGTCATGGACCATAAATTGAGGTCAACAAGCATCGTTAAGTGTGTCGGGATTGTAGTTGGTGTCAACTGCATTGCTACCATTGAACTCACCAACTATTTCCAGTAAATTGTAACACATGACATACTGATTTTAATCCTTTTACGTAATAGTATGTCCCTTGTTAGTCCTTTCAACTGTCTCTATTTGTGAGTGAATGTGTCACCTTAGGAAGCTATAGGTTTTAAGATTTTTTGTTAGTTTAATTTAATACCGACGAGAAGTTTAGCATCATTCAGCAACTCTCCACCACGTATGGTGGCCACTCAGCATTTATTGTGATAGTTGGTGGATAAACTTTTTAGTCAATCTTTCTTTAACTCTTCTTGGTGCTCTCAATGCAACTTCATTCACCAATTCAAGGAATAGTTCAAAAAATGCTGGTCTCAACAACTATATCAGTCTCCGATGAGCATCTCCACTACACTTTTGCTTCAAGATATGCCCACACATCTCTCCCCATGTTCGTCTTTTAATCACACATAGGGTTTATTGGTTTTTGTTGGGTTTTTGATACCCTATAAATCTCCCGAGCTATGATGTTAATGTGGGTTAATTATTTTATAGGCATATGCCGACGAATGAAATAAGTCCAATAACTAAGTCCATAAGCTCCACCCAGCCCAGTTGTAATCCCTCTTGCATGGCTTGAATCTTGGCCTATTTAAGTCTCTTAGAGGTCCAACTTAAAGTCTAATCCTAAACTACATATAAGGCAATAACCCTAGCCATTTCTTATATGATTTGTGTGGCTTTTGTCTGAGAAAAGAAGAATCCCATCTACCTCTTGAAGTGTGTGAAAAAAGGCCCCTTAGAAGTGTCCAAAATATTTGTTTACTTTATGTAATTGATGGTTCCTTCTAGGGATGGCAACGGTTCGGTTCGGGGTTGGTTCGTCCAAAACCATCATCGAACCACCAATTTTTTGGTCATACCATAACCGCACCATAATCACGAAAGTCGATTCAGTTCGGTTTCGGTCCGTATCTCAGTTCGGGTCGTTAGTAACCAAGAAAATAAATTATTTTTAATTGGTCCATCCGTCGAATTAAAATGAAAACAAAAACATGATACTAAGTTAATGTAGCAAACAACATCCCAAATAAAAATGCAAAAAATATCCCAATTCTCAAACACAAAATCCAAATTTAACAAACAATATTCAATAACTCAAAAAGCTCCAACCTCAATTCATATTCAATCTTCATTCTTCTCCACAACTCTTACTGGCATCCGTCAAAACTCAAAGTTGATTCCTATATAGTATATAAGAAATGTAAGTAGAGTAATAAATCAATAATCCATAATGTTCTTAACTAAATATTTAAACAAAAAATGTACCTCTTCGTCAACATCCTCGTCATCAAACTTTGCACAAGCTCCGGAATATGATGAAGGAGCAGAATTTTCTACACACAAAAGAGGAAAAAATTAGCAATAAAAGAAAGTGCATAAATAACAAACATAAAACAATAAATCCTACCATGAATATCAGACCAAAGCCAATCTCGAGCACACATTAAAGCTTCTAAAGTCTTCGGGTGAAGCCTATTTCTATGTGGGCTCACAAATCTACCACTTGTACTAAATGCTGACTCGGATGCAACAGTAGATACTGGAATGGCTAATAAATCTCTTGTAACCTTCTTTAAAGGCGGATATTTTATTGAATTTGCTTTTCACCATGTCAATAGATCAAAACCGTCCACCCTAGGCAATACTGGCTCATCTAGAAAAACATCGAACTCTATTTTTACATGATCAACAGTAACAAAAAGACTAACAAATGTATCAAAACCAGCCATGCGAGAATGTTTTCCACTAGTAGTAGACGACTCTGATTGTGAAGATGATGGAAACAAAGATGTATTTTCTGTCGAACGATGTGGTCTCTTGTACTCTTTGAGCAACTTATGACCAAATGCTCTAACCTTTTCAGCCTCTTCTTGAGCTTCATCTCCAAAAATCAAAGGAAAATAGTATTCAACTAGTTTCATCTTGTATCTAGGATCCAATATAGTTGCAACAGCTAGAATTTCATGCATGCCACTCCAATATTTATCAAACTTTTCCTTCATGCTTGAACCCATCCATTTGACTTCATTGCAAGATGATGTGCTCCAATCACGGATTGCCAACTTTATGTCACAAATATTGGGAAAGTACAAATTGGCCGTAGGATATTTTGTTCCTGAAAATAATTCAGTCGCTTCATAAAATATCTCCAACTTATCACAAATCTCTGTAGCCAATTCCCAATCACTCTCACTCGGTACACTTCTGCAATGAGGCTCTCTTTGCCTTAGTCGAGGCAAAAGTTCTTTGTAAAGCAAAGCAGTATGAATCATTAGATACGTGGAGTTCCATCAAGTCTTGCAATCTAATACTAACTTTTTTCCACAAGGGATTTTCATTTGTCGTGCAACTGCCTCAAATGTTTCAACTCCTTTTGGTGTTGCTGACCAATATGAAACACTATCGCGAATTCTCTCAACACTCGGGCTAATGACATCCAAACCATCATTTACTATCAGGTTCAATATGTGTGCACAACACCGCAAGTGGAAAAATTCACCATTCAACAATAAAGAACCAAGAGAAAGCTTATCTAACATAATGTTAATCATAGCGTCATTCGTGGTGCAATTATCAACAGTCAATGTAGACAATTTCTGATCAATATTCCAATCAAATAGACAATCCATTAACACAGTAGACAGTGACTCAACAGTGTGGGGACAAGGGACATATATAAATCTGTATGGATATGAAAAAAAGTTTGTAAGATAACTTAAAATTTCAGAAAATACAATAGTAGCTTAAAGTCTATTTTATAAAACTATTGTACCTCAAAATTCGGCTCTGAAGCCTCCAAGAATCATCTATGTAATGTGCAGTGATAGCCATAAATCCCTTCTTTTGATTGGATGTCCACATATCAGTGGTGACTGCTATTCTACTATTGGTCCTCTCTAACAAGCCCATTACTTTTGTTCTCTCATAATCATAAATTTTCAAGATATCAGCCTTGATGGTATTACGAGAAACAACTTTAAATAATGGTTGAATTGTATTGCAAAACTTTCTAAACCCAGTATGCTCAACCATTGAAAGAGGATATTCGTGTAGGATGATCATATTTGCAAGTTCCGTCCTACCTTTCTCTTAATCAAAATTAAATGCTCCCATTGCAATCCTACCACCAGGTTCTTTAAATTGATTCAAAAACATCTGTTTGACATCCTTCTAACCTCGAAGAGGACATCTATTTAAATGAGCATATAAATGACTTGTCCCATTTTTCGACTCACTCCCTAACTGTTTGTTGCATTGTCTGCAAATTGCTTTGGACACATTATTAATTCTCTGTAGCTTAAAATGCTACCACACTGAAGAGGTCAATTTTCTTTTTCTATTTTCCTCGGTCATCTCCTCATCATCACCTAAATCTATATGAATAGGATTTTCATTTACCTCACTTGGACTTTGTGAAGTAACTGGTGTACTTGTTGATGTATCTGCAACTTGAATTGAAGCAGAAGCACTTCCAATTGAAGCGGGGGGAGTAGGAACGGAAGATTCTGACCCCTGGCAAGACATCTAATTTCAAAAAAAATAAAAATCAACAAACTCAAAAACTTAGGCATTCATTAATTTCATTAGGTGAAAAATTTACAAAAGTGGAATGCTAAACGATAGAGAAATAACTTACTCCAATTTACAATAAAACTTATCATTCAAGGAAATTTACAATAAAACTTACTCCAACTCAAACATAAATAACTAAAGTGGAATGCTAAATGATAGAGAAATAAAAAAGGATGTAGTTTATTTGTTGCACCCCACTTTAGGGATATGATGGAGTATAAATTATCATTAGTTGATTGCTAAGGAATTTTCAATTACCTCCTAATACATGGTCTCCTAACCTTTATAACCAATATGAATAATCTTAAAAACTTGTGTCCAAACAACTTCAAGGACGAGAAAGTAAGGCTTATTTCCAAAGTTGTGGCCAAAGAATATTTAGATAACCAAGAATCTGTAGTGATAGTAACTGTAAAACTAGTGAGTAGATTAGCAGAACTAAAAAAAAAAACAAATTGATGTCAATGCATTTAAACTCACTGGACAATGTACACTAGGAAGTTGAGGTTATTTGAAATGCTTGTGATTATAGCAGTAATTTATATTAACTACTTAGAAAACAAAGCCTGACTTCTTTCAATCATTTCATCAAACACTTTCTTTGCAAAATCCATTTTCCCCAATGTCCCATAATACTAATGCAGTGAATTAAATCCATACTTCAACATGGGCGTGCACTTCAGTTCCTTCAAATACAGAAAAACTCAAGCCACAACACCAACATTTCGCAAGAGTGTTTCACTATTTCTCTCGTGTGAAGCAACTTGCAATCAGCCAATCACATACAAGATGATTCAGTTACAACTCACTTGGCACAACATTCAGTCAGAACACAAATGAATGTGAAACAGAGAACAAGAAACGAAGCTTTTTAAATTTTGGTCTTGCAAAACAGCAAAAGCAGAAGAAGATGATTCAGTTACCTCAAATAGTGGTAGGACTGTAGGAGTAGTGAAGCTCGTGGCTGTGTGCATTTTTGTAGTAGGGTGAACCGGTGATGTCGTAAAGATAACTGTCTAGAGGCGATGAGGCATCAGGCGTGGATCTGTGGTTGCCGGCTGCACGAGTTCGTGGTCTGTGAGTGTGATTTCAGTGATTTGTGAAGTAAAGAGTAGGGTTTACGTCTCATGACTCATATACCCGATTCTACATCAGTTCGATTTTTTTCAGTTAACCACGATTTTCGATTTTGACAGTTCGAATTGCCATCCCTAGTTCCTTCATAACCTATCTTTTTGTTGTTTTCTCTAGCCTTTTTAGCCACAAATCATTATCGTTTCTTGTCCTACATAGGAAAGATTGAATAGCAATCAAGGAAAATTATATTGGTTGTAGATCGGAGCTGGTTGGATTGGTCGTTGGTAGAGAAAGGTACATTGGATTGAGCCTGAAAAATATCGAATTGAAGATCCTTGGAGAGAGCTTCTGTAAAATTTGGTATCATAGCTTCAAGGTGGTGATTTTGACTTGTGAAACATAGCAAAAATGTCCAGAAAATCAGTTGAAACAAGGCAGAAATCAAATCGAAAAATTGTCCGAAAAACTACCCAAAAATGAGATATGTTTCTACAATTTTCGGACAATCCAGAAGAAGTTTTTGAAAACAAAGACCACTGGTGTGACGTGCAGGTGGAGGCGGTCCCAGAGGTTTGGCATGTGAGACTGACGACGGCGCGTGAAGCCCATGCACAAAGAAGGTAGCGGCACGTAAGGACGCGTGCGGTCATTTCTGGAAGAGGTCTTTTCAGGCAGTTTGTTCTCACATTATTTCTGACATTTTGGTGTTTTAAGTTTTTTGTTTCAAATTGTATAGTAGAGTCTAGACACAATTGTTCTTTGCACGTTCGAGAAACGGTCGTGGTTCGTTGGTTGCTTAGCAGTAGTCCTAAAGTTATAAATTTGCGTGTCTCATAATTTATGAACTCAGATTGGTCCACTCTAGTATATTAGCTTATCTCAATTTAAATTTCAGCATTAGAGTGTCATCGTGTGGGGTGACATTTGGTTTGTGGTTATCATGAAGGGGTAACATTACTTGTGCTAGAAATTTAGAAGTTATTTGCCATATTTGAAGTGTTGGATTTAATTGCAAGTTAATAACTGCTTCTGTGTTTAATTTACTGCATTGCGCGAGAATTTGAACTTTTGTTTACATACCTTCGTGTTGTATTGATTATCCTGTTAGAACACCTAGACTTGACCCGTTCGAACATTCCCTTGATCTAAGATCTTGAATCTTACGAAACCTTGGATATCTAGAACGGTGTATATTGTGGTCTTAGGATTACTTTGTGTGACCTATCTGTGTATTTAGTTGTTCTATTTTATTAAAAATGTCTTCACACTTTGAAGTTGGAATTTTTAATGAGAAAGGGGATTTTTCAATTGACAACAAAAGATGAATGATATTTTGGTCCAACAAAAAGTTTCAAAAATCATAGATGACAAATTTTCTGAAAACTTAATAGAAGCACAAAAAGAAGAGTATGATGAACTTACGTACACTTCAATTATCTTACATTTATCTGATATTATTTTGAGAAAAGTTGAAAAACTTAATTCTACAAAAGAACTTTGGGAAAAGTTGGAGAACTTATATTTGCTTAAATCCACTTCTAATAAGTTGTACTTGCTTGAAAGATTTTTTAGCTTTAAAATGGATCCTTCAGAGGATCTTGACGTTGTCTTTAACAAGTTAGTTCAAGACATCTTTAATTGTGATGAAAAGGTCTCTGAAACATATAAGGCTATTATCCTGCTTAATTCCATGCTTGATTCATATAGAGAAGTTAGGATTGCAATTAAGTATGATAGGGACACCTTAATACCCGAAATTGTCATAGACTCACTTAGGAGTTAGGATATGGAAATTAAGATTGAAAAAGAGGATAAAAAGAGTGGTGAGTTACATATGATGAGAAGTAGGATGAAGTTTAAGCAAATGAATTTGGGTAGAACTCAAGACGATAGTGATTCGAATAACGA